CATACATAATCAAAGATTAGGCTGAGCTGTAAGACACAAGGATCAGAGAGACAAACTCCTGGCCCTGTGCAGGAGACTCTGAATCACACCGTGTGCCTTAGACCATTGTCCAAGTGCTTCTTGAGCTGTCAGACCTGGTGCTGTGGCCCCTTTCCTGGGGTGCCTGTTCTAGTGCTCTAGTCACCCTCTGGGTGAAGAACCTTCTCTTTATATCCAACCTAAATCTCCTCTGACAGAACTTTGGGCCATTCCCTTGGGTCCTGTCACTGGTCACAAGAGTGTAGATATCAGTGTCTGCCGCTCCTCTTCCCCTCACAAGGAAGCTGTAGACTGCAATGAGGTCTCTCCTCAGTCTTCTCTAGTCTGAGCAGACCAAGTGACCTCAGCCACTCCTCATGTGGGTTCCCCTCACAGCCCTTCACCATCTTTGTTGCCCCCCTTTGGACACTCTATTAACAGCTTAATGTCTTTCTTTGTGTGGCACCCAGACCCGCCCCAGCACTCGAGGTGAGGCTGCCCCAGCTCAGAGCAGAGTCGGACAATCCCATAAGGCTAGGGACCTAACCTTTCAGAAGACAAGGGCTCAGAAAGCAGAACAAAATTATCCTGTCTCACTTTTTCATTTGGAGCTTATGCATTTAACCAATTTTAAACCATCGTTTAACCAATCACGTAGTTTTAATGACCAAAACTACATTTTGTTTATGCTGCCTAATCAGAATATTGGCATGATTTCAGTGGCTGCTCTGACAACTCTTTGTTTGAACAAAAAGTTATGTTTTCTAAATCCATTTTTGAAGTTAAATTCCATATTTCTTGCTTTATTCTCCTTGAAATCACTCAACAAGGGATACTGTTTCTGAAGGTACGCGTTTTTGCAAGTGCACAAAGCTATGTGTAAGAAATGCAAGAAAGCATTGATTAACATATTCAGAAACTTATTCTTGGAATTTCTGGGATATAAACACTTCCCAAATGGTTTGCTTCACTGATTTATTAAGAATTCATGAAAACTTTTTCACATTTACTTCCCACACTTCCACATCATGGTATTTTGCTCTGCCTATATGTTCTACAGTTGTATCAATTGGACTCTGCATGGAATTTCAAAATGCGGTATTCAGACACTCCATTACATATAGATAATTCACATATTGCTGCTTAAGGAAATAGCATATACTCATTAGAAAGTTTCAACAAATCCAGTTAAAATAAGAAATGCTTGGTGGATTAATGTTATGCAGCTTGTAACATATATATCTGTCATACATACCTTTCAGCTTCCCAGAAATGGACTGGTTATTACAGATGAAAAAAAAGTTGAATTTAAAACAAAGTTATTGTACTTTTTTTATGCAATTTTTTTGGTGAGCAGACTCACCATAATTTGTGGCATCAATCTGCAGCTACTCTGTCTGTGCCTCTCAGTGCATTGGGAAGAACTAATGTAGAGTCTATATCCAGACTGTGCATCCTTTGATCTGCTAAGCTTTTAGTCTTCTCCTAGCAACAGGAATATGAAGGTTCTCTACCAAATAAAAAGAAATATAAAATACTAAATTGAGGTATCCTATATTTTTCCACTTTTCTATCTTTTAATTTCAATTTACAATTCCAAGTTGCTGTCAGGGAATAACATGTTTTGTTGGACTGGAGACAACGTTTTAGTTTTTAAAATTAGACTAAATTCAAGCAAACATACCAGAGTTAGACTGTGGAGCCCATTTATATCAAAGGAAGTTTTATTTATTTTCTTATTTGCTTGCTTTTTCATGTGTTTAAATATTTTCCACATACATCTGTAGGCTACTGGGAAATGACAAGATTAGTAGGATATATGGGCGAACAAAACCATGCTATCACAAAGCTGATATGCAAGGCTGGCTTGTGTTACCAAACTCTTGCTGCAGTGCTGTGCACAGATGTGAATTCTGTGGACTTGTTGTGAGGGCTGAAGACTTTCCAAACCTCAAGTGCAGGCTCTCCTCCATATGCCTCACATCCCAGCATCTTTCACAAAGAGAGGTGTGCTGAATGAGGTGCTGTGTAATCTTATGGAATCTCTTAGTCAAGTCCTATAAATTATGAGTAAATTGAAAGGCCTCAGGATGCAATTCTATTTTTAAATTTTAAAAATTTATTCTTCTTTGCTTTTTAAAAAATCATTGTGTCCTAGCAAGAGAGGAACATGCAAAGACAGTTGTTTACTACTATAAAGCCCGTTAGTTTGTTCATTCCTTTATTGTTGCAAAAATATACCACTTCAAATATAGCAGGAAAGAAAGCAAAAGATTCAAAAAGAAGAAAGAATTGCTGAGATTTTTTTTGTTTGTTTTTGTTTTTGTTTCCTTCCTTTTACTCTTGAGCATGTGAGAGTTTTAGTCTACTAGTGTTCTGAATACACAGTTTTTGGCAGAGTAAGGTGTGAAAATAAGGCACACATTTGCAAGGGGCTAAAACTAAATCACTTAATAATAGCTTTCTATTGAATTTCAAAGGCACTGTGACATAAAGACATTCTGCTGCCAACAGTAAGCAGACAACTTGTGCAGCTTGTAGTTCAGGGATGCCACAGCCCCCACATGCATCAAGTTCATAGAAGCAGATGTTAGAAACAGACACTTCATCAAGGACAACTTGTTTTCTGCACACATTACTTTGGAAGTCCAGGCTGCACTTTGTCCTCATCTGGGTTCAGTGGTTTTCAACAACTCCATTACTCTGCCATGAGTGATAAAGACAGTTTGTTTTGCTGATGTACTGCTTTTTGTTTTGTGTAAGTGCACATATGAAGCTTTCATACAATTTATGTTCTTTAATTGTAAAAAAGGCCTTGTGATTAAATGTGAGAGGCAACAAGCCTCCTCATGTCACCACTGAGTAGCTAAGGTCATTCAGATGACAGCAAAGACTACTTACAACATAGGAAATCTATAATCCTTTTGGAAGGATTCCAAAGTACAAATATTCATGTGAAAATGCTATTCATTGTATGTTTTCTTAAAAACAAGGACATTTTTCCAAGGTCATTTTAGTTGTAATAAGAAGTGTGTTTTTCAGTTGGAGAACTAAGTATTTTTTAAATCTGATTTATATATATATATATATATATATATATATATATCCATTAATACACTGAGTATCCCCTTCCCTCTCACCACAAAAATGTGGAAAAACCTCAAGACCCAAGAGCTAGGTTAACTCCAGTATTTTCTTGGGGGAAAGGAGAGAGGGGCGTATCAGAGCTTTACTATGGCTCTGTTGCTAAATATTTCAGGATGCATTTTGCTTCAGTTAAATTGGCCTGGTTTCCTGGTTACCTGAATTTTTTGCGTCATCCAGAAAGCCCGTTTTGGTTGCACTTGTCTGGGACCATAATGCAAGCAAATAAGCACAAGAGCTGCCTTGGGCTTTCTAAACTTAAAAGTATATTGCAATGTTCTTTCTTTCTGAAGGACTCAGACCTAATTTTCTGATTCATAGGATTCACAGAATTCTCATGATGGTCATGCCATTGAGAATGCCTCACATCCTTTGAGAGGTACCATATACTTTCCATCAGTGGAAAGAAACTGGAAGACAATTGCATTCAAAAGGCTTATTTATTTTCTTTCTCATTAAACGGGTGATTTTTTTTAACAGTCAGAATAGCCTCACCTTACAGTAGGAATGGATGACATAGGCCCCTGCAGTGGATGTATAAATATATGGGTGTGTGCTTAAACATGTATGTGTACATGCATATGCATAGAAACACACAGATATAGGCACAAAATAAGTGGGAAAGAGAAATGTTTTTTGAAGGAGGAAAACAAGCACGTCAAAGGGATTTCAAAGCTTGCAAAGGTGCTGTCAGTTGGAGAGTGTTATGTTATTTTTCCATATGTGATTTACTGAGGATTAGAAAAATAATCCTGTAATAAGGATTAGATGCTAAACAACTGAAATGAAAAGAGAGGAAGAAATAATCCTGACAGACCACTTTTATGTAGATGACAAGCTGCATCCACACCTGTGGTGTCTCACCCTTAAGGGAAAGCAAGCACCAAAGATTCACAGATGCTCAGGGTTGAAATTAATGAAAAAATCAGAGGGTCTGCAAAAGCTTGCAAAGTTTTATTAGTAAATAACACACTTGGCGTGGAAATTGGCATGTTAGTTCCTGATCCTAATACAATCACACAGCAGTGGGTTTTGGATAAAGGATTAGGGTGAGAAGTGAGAGAGGGGGAGAGAGAGAGAGAGAGAGAGAGAGGAGAGAGAGAGGGGAGAGAGAGAAATAAGAAAGAGGAAAAAGAGAACAACAGTCCTGGTTTCAGCATAGATCCATCTGATGAGCTGTCTGGCCTGCACAAAGGTGTTTGTCATAGGAAGGTGCTGCCCTACCTGTTTATGGGCCCCTGTCCCCACATCCTGTTCTTTCTCCCAGCTTGTTATTACTATCAGTCTCTGTCTGTTTTTGCCAACAGTCCTCAGCTGGCTTGACAGCTGGCTATTGGTGTTTGAGACCTTCACATTAGCCCCTTATCTTTTGGGCTTCTATAGCACTCTCATGTCTGATCTTCTGCTGATTCCTGTACAATCTGTATCACATTGCCAGTTTGCAGTTTCATATGGTGATTTATGAAGTGGCTGGAGATTTCCAAGAAGGAAACCCTGAGTATTATTAAATTTGTTGATCTAGTTTGGCCCACTTTGTTCTTTGCCTCAGATTCATCACTACACTGCAGCATGTCCCCTGAAGACTTAGGGAATATTCGAGAGATAGAGAGGAGAATGGTGAAGCTTTGTTCTCTCCTCACTCTTGACCTCAAGCCCAACTTTCATTTCCTACAGCAGCAATTTCCTGTTTTTCATACATTCTATATGGATTTGTGTCATCCTAAATTCTCTCATTCACTCAGAGAAATTACCTTTATTTCAAGTACTTTCTTTTGTAGAAAATTCTTTCATTTACTTTGATTGCAAACAAAATTTTCTTTGACTGGAGCAAGGTCTTTACAAATAATTTTATTTGAGGACATCTGAAACATTCAGTCTTCTCATTGAAAACTTCACTACTACCAGCATTTTTCTAAGGCATAAAAAATTTACAGATAGTACTACCAGCATCCTTATGTGGAGTACCTTGAGAAGATATTCCAGTCACATATTACTGAAGAACTTTACTCGGATGAATCTTTTACCTTTACTGAGAGAAATGAAGAACATACCAAGGAGTTTTGGCCCTCTTTAAGAGGTTACAGCTCCCTCATGGACTGAGCAAAAGAAGCAACATGATATTGTTAATTATTCATTTAAAACTCTGTCTTCTACACAGTGCTGAAGAACATGATCATTGCAAGAAGGTGTGCAAGCAAGGTGAATATATACATATTGTGACTGGAAACCAGTGCAGCTGTCTGCACATCAGGTAATAAAATCAGATATCATAAATACAAGAGAGATGTATGTTTGCTACAGGAGCTCATCTAGAAGTCAAGTAGAGGCTACTTTGCTTTCTAGGAACATTATAGTTTTCAGATCTCTTGAATAAAACTTGAACTGATGAAAGGAAAAAGCTCCAACACTGATACATTACATGAAAAAAAATGTAATTGTGCAATTGAAGTCCACAATGAAATTCCAGGAATGCAGCACATTGGCTAGGCTTTTCTGCATGGGGACCTTATCCATACAGGTTCTTACTCTGTGTTTCTCTGTTTTGAGGGCTCTTTGTGTGTTTGAACTTCTCCCAGGATTACTCAGCAACTACTTTTCATGGTCTTATCAGTAAGTAAGTAGTAGTTGTAACCTTAGCACTGGGAAGTCTAAACAGCCAGTTGCACAGCTGCAGGGATCAGGACTTCAGAGGATGTTGGGGATATTTCACAGCTGTCTTGAAGGACACCAGCTGAGACTGGAATTACTAAGGTCAGTAGTGAATGTGTTAGCTGTGAAAAAAAATCAAAGGATAGGGTGCTTTAGTCATACACATCTGGTATTTCTAAACTCAGCTTAGGAAAACATCATTCACTTCTGAAGACGTAAGCATTTCTTCCATTATGCTTTTAAAAATTCAAACAAATTCCATTAAGCATTTTTTCCATTATACTTCCCTCAGTACCAGGAAAATAAAAATCTGCTTCATTAACACTAAAGAGAGTACTATTGTTTGGCATGGAAAAAAAAAATGCAGTCTGGTTGAAGAGAAAATAGCACAGTTTTTGCAACTTGACTTGTGTTTTGATTATATCCTGTTAACCTTGGGCATTTCAGAAGCATAGCAATAGCAGTATCGACAGTGTCACTTGGAACAGTATTTTGCTGTGTTCTGAGGTAAAAGTCTTTAATGTGCCAGTGTGTAGGTTTAAAAAACAAAGTGTGTAGGTTTAAAACACTTATTGAAACTGTGGCTTGTGCCAAGCCAAGACTCTCAGGTTCAAGAGAAAATGTGATCAAGCCTCTACAGGCATAAACAAGTTATTGAAGAAAATAGTTTGGAGTTTCCTAAAGCCTGGTAGGGTCAGAGTTAACACAGTAAATTAAACAACGACTAAACTTAAAAAAAGACAGAGATTACATTAGTAATTTATGCTTGATGGGTAAAAAAACAGAATTGAGAATTGAATGTGAAAGCTTGAAAGAAAGTTATTTACTTAACTTTTTAAAACTAGAATAATTCTTTCAGAGTAACAATTAAATTGGAAGTATTTGTAAATCTTTACCATATTCACAGTGTACATGTCAACATTATGGATATGACCAGGGGTTTTCTTCTATTTATTTATTTTTTTTTTTTAAAAAACAATAATAAGTAAAGAAAAAAAAATAATTTAAGAATTTTTATTTGTATTTGTTTATTTTGCTCTCAGTTTGTGTTTCAGGAAATGAGCAGACTTTTTGTGAGGTGGGCTGGGAGGTCAGAGAGGGTGATGATTTTGATTTATGTTTCATGGTTTGTTTTGATATTTGGGAATATTTTCCCAACTTTCAGGAAAGCAGGCAGCTCTGAGTAATTTACTTGACGTATTGGTACTATTGAGATTTGAGCATATTATCTTGGTGTGTACAAACATGATTCATTTGAGGAACCTATTACTGACAACAGTCATTAGCAGTAATCAGGAAAGCTGCTCTTCTACTTGTGATAAAATTGCACACCTGTAACAGACTGATTCAACACATTTTCAGACAAAGATTCGTGAAAATATGGACTCTGTTGGTCATTTTACTATTGATTTCTTAGGAAGAATATCAGACACTTTGCTAATGGTGGTAGCTTAAAGTCTTACAGAGATTTTGAGGGCAACTCGGAAGGTATTGACTTTACTACCTGAGCTTGTCATCTGGGCCTTTAATGAGGTACATCTACTGAAAACAGACCAGGCAGGGGTCACTGTAAAACCTGCTTTTAAATTGCTCATAGGCTTTGTTTGATTTTAAAATCCATTTCCATCCACTGTAGATGTAGTTGGGCTGAAAAAAATCCGTCATAGTGGAAAATGCTGATGATTCTTGGAGAATGTAATTCAGGGTATTCACCATCAACATTTTACTGGGAATTTGTTTAAGTAAAACATGTTTAGAAGATAGTGAAAATTCTGCTAGAAGAAAACATTTTTCAAGTCAGTCTCTGAGGTTTGCTTTCCATCTCTGAACAGTACTGTGGTGTTTCCTGCTACAAACACTGAAAACTGTGTGTCAATGCCAACATGCCACAAGGGAAATGCAGCTCTCCTCTACCTCACTCTACCTTGTTGTAGAATGAAAGTAGTGTCTGACTAAAAAAACTATTGATTCCATGTGTTTCCAACTCACATGAGAAACAATAGGAACCAATGTGCTCTTCAGAGAGAAACATACCTTTCTATTCTTTTTTTATTTTTTTATGCCTTCCCTTCCCTTCCCTGCCCTGCCCTGCCCTGCCCTGCCCTGCCCTGCCCTGCCCTGCCCTGCCCTGCCCGCGTTTTGCTTTTCCCTGTTAGGACTGTTGCTGCTGTCTCTCTTAGCAGCGGCAAATGTTAGGAGAAAGAGCCTTTATTTACTCTATTTTTTAAAAATTTATTATAGCTGTGAATACTGCTCTACTTTCATCTTGTAACTGCTTTTGTTTCAGGGCCAGCCTCAAAACTCATAATCATACCTTTGTTACTTTATGTCAGTTTGAAGTGAGAAATTGCTACCAAATACCCTAGAGAAATGCTGGTACCTACCACGGATTTCTTATAACAAAATTTTATGTTTATTATTTACTTTTTAATTAATTTGATATGGAAACTAACAGTCAAGAAATATTTTAAGGTATCCAATAAACACTCTATAAAAGAGTTTGCATAACCTGTCAGGTGTTTGTCTGGATAGATATTACAGATGATACACTTGAAACAGAAAATAGCTGTAAACTTCTGTTTACTTAGGAAACATTTAAGGATAGCAATAACTTATTCCTTGCCAGTCTCCAGGGATTATCAGCTGTTAAAACTCACAGAATTGAATGAATATCTTTAGGTTGTCCAGCCTCTTGTAAATAGCCAGATGACGTGTATTTTCTTTTTAGGAAGTCTCCAGGGGACCATGACCACGTGGTATTAGGAACAGAACACATGCGAATGAAGAGACAGCCTGGTCCTGAGAAGTTTATCGACTTCAGCTTTACAGAAAAACAAAAGAAAGAAGATAAATGTTGTTATTTGCTATTGTTACAGTAGAGCAAACATCCACCTGGCATGTAAAATCAGTTAACATTTTTCTCTGGGGGTCACATCTACTGTTGAGATTCTTACAAATGGCAAGTGCCAGGTGAAACACAAACCATGGACTCCTTCCATGCAGTTGTTAACCAGAACTGGAGGGAGAAGAGCAACTCCCCTGCTCCAGGGAAATTCAATGAGAGAATTCACCAATAATGACTTTCTAACCTCAAACACCATGACTTTGGGATATTTGTCAAAGTGCTTTTAAAGGATAGAGCCCAATGAATAAGGGACAGGGAAAAAAAAAAAAAAAAACTTTCATTATCTTCTACAATAAGTCTGGAAGTATAGAGGATTTGAAGCAAAAATTTCCTTCTAGAGTCCTCAGTGACCAAGAAACTTTGGCTTCTCCTCTGGGAAGCAGTCCCATTATGAAGAGAGATGCTAGGAAAGTAAATACATTATCAGTGCTGACGTATAACTCTGATTAAGATTTTAGGAATAGCTAAACAAATTACTCTCATTACAAAACTTCCCATTCTCAAGCTTATATATCCTGTTGTTTGTTCTGGATTCTCACTTCTATTTTTTTCAATGGTGCTTTATATAAAAGAACATACCAACTATTTCTGTTATTGGTAATTTTCCATTGCTGCAAAGCTCTTTGTGTTTGTTGCTGTGACATTACTACCCACACAATTGCATCACTGCTATACAACACAGTCATGTAGAATTTGGAGGAGGAAAAACCACTTTTGAAACAGAAGCAAAAAAGATAATGTAGAACAAGCCTGCTGATACCCTGCAGAGTATTTAATTAACTAATTATAAGAATCTATCACTTTGAGAGATAAAGTGATTTGATAGAATTCAGGGAGAAAACACCTCTTTTTCAGGGCAGGGATAGTTCCTTATTGACAATCCCACTGTTTTTTTAAATTAGTCTCTCCTAATACCCACAGAGAAAAAAAAAATTAAAATTATATATTTAGGACCTCGGAATCCATCAACTGATAAGGGACTTTACAACATATTCCTCTCACAGAACAAGAACTTTTCTGTCAAACTAATAGTTAATGCTAAAGGGATTTAATCAGTGCACTGTGATAAATACATGGTGTTTGAAAGTAGATTTGACATGTAAAAACTTCATTCATACACATGCACACATACATGCACACAGCAGAAGTATTCTTTAAACAGATTTTCCACGCAAGAAACAGGGTATCTGTTTCTATACATTATCCAGCTAGTTTGTGATTCTGAAGATTTTTGTATTGATAAATGTAGTCAGCACCAAACCATGTGTATTCCTGTTCAGATAATATATAAAGATGGTGGTTGGTTCCTAGAAATTAACACCTGTTGAAATAGCTGAGGTCTGGACCTTGAAAACAGCTGCAAACCTATTGCTCTTCATGGATTTCTCTTTTTCTCATTAAAGTATAGTCAAATTCATGTGTGTGCATCAGGTTTGTAAGAATGTTAGCCCAATAGGATGTTAGTCCAATCACTGCTGAAACCAGTGTTTATACAGAGCGTGTAAGCCTTTGCCAAGCACACAGGCAAGCAAAAAGCAAAAAGCAAACACCAAAACTCATTGAAATGAACCCTGTGAACCCAAACTTACTGTATCCATTTAATCTCAATGTGCGATAGTTATAAGTATTTTCTTTATACTAGTTAGAACTGCGTTATTTGAAAATTAAATATTCAGTCTTATGTTTTCTCTTTCATGTTTTCCTCAGATATGTAGAAATGGAGCGGCAAGAACACCATGAACTTTACACACAGTAGTGTTTTTCTTGCTGTTGCTAGGTTCAGAAATAAGGTACCAAAGCTGTTATAAAGTATCACAGTTAATTTTCTAGAAGCTTAAATAGCTCTGCAGAATTAAACACCATAAACACCTGGAATATTTACTTCTATTCCTTTACAGAGATTTTATATTTCTTAACACATACACCTATGTGTTTCTGGAATGCAATGTCAGCCTCTTTGCAGATCTATAGTCTACCCACTATTTCCTCATATTTAATATTCTTTTCCCTCCAAAATGAACAAGTAAGTTTGTCCGTGAAGATATAAGACTATCTATCATATGTATCTATGGACTGCTTCAGCACTGAATGTAATAAACTCAACCTCATTATAAGGTTTAAAATGTTGCCAGTAACAGGCCTGCACTATAGCGCGGTTGCCAGGAAATAAAAGTCCTTCATATCTTAGAATCTCACTAGCAGAAGACTCAGATCACCCACTTTGGAGATAGTAAAAACAAATGAACACAGTCTTTTTCAGCTGAAAGCAGGCAAAGGCCATGTTCCATCAGAGATGTTTTAAAATTTCTGAGGTTTCCTTCCTGAGAATATGCCCAACTGTGTTGGCGTCAGGATTAAAAGCAGACTGTCTAGCTCCAAGTAAGTGGGGTCACACATGGGCAGGGTGTCTGGGCACAGTCCAAAACAAGCCACTCACAGCTGGGTGCTTGATGGTGGGTAAAAGACTGACACTGAAGATGGTGGCAAGCATCAGCAGTTTATTATCCCACAGTACAACTTTTTATACTTTATATCACATGCACAGCATGTGCTCCTTTTTGCACTATAACTGGCTAACAAACTATGTGCACGCACCTTCTACCCTTTTATAATTGGTCATAAAATTCTCTGTTTCTCGTTGTAAATGTCAACACACATTCACATTCCACACTTCTCTCCCTCAAAGTTGTTTACCTGTCGTGTTCAAGGACACAGCTGTAACTCATCAAAGCTGAGGCTGCCTGCAGCCCCATTCCTATTCCACTATGGGTGCTGACAGCTTTTGTGCACTCAGACCTTCCTTGGGGCTGCAGTTCTTGGCAAACTGCCCCTGGGCTGAAGGTAGAGTGGGGACAGCCAAGTCACCAAGCATTCAGAGTTCCCAAGTAGTGTACTCCTGCAAGTGAGAAATAATTTAGAGAACTGGGAGGCAAGTGCTAAACCTTGGTCAGTGTTTTGTTGTAAACCAGTTGTCTATCTCTAGTTCAAGCTGTTAATTCTTTTCTTGTTATGCATAAGTTGTACTTACCTTTCATTGTCATGTCCCTGTCCCGCTGGGAAATCACCACCGCTGCTTTCCAAAATGGCATCCCCAGCCCTGAGGAGGAGGATAACGTAAGGGCCTGTATGTAAATGAGAGAGACCAGAGACACATGGAATGCACCCAGACCAATAAGAACCCAGAGACAACAAGCCACACTAAAAAGAAGAAATAGAAACAGCACCACCGAATGAGGAAGACCCAGAGGAGTCCCCTGACTTGCTCCCAGGAGCTGACATAACCAGAAGGGAACTTGACCAGGATGACATCCTAGACTCCAAGAAAAAGAAGATGAGCATTCCTGCAGAGTCCCGTGAGAATGGCAGCTCCGACTCTGCTGTGTGGCAAAGTCAATGTCCTCCTTCTCCGCATGGAATCTGGGAGCAGTGGTGGTGTGTGTGATCCCTCGGGCCCCCACCCAAACTGATTCTCAGAATAAAGGCATTGAAAAGGACTTCTAATCCTGCCCAATTCATTTCACTGCATGTTGCTTGGAATGACTTTGCTCAATGCATCAGCCCCATCTTCTGACCTGAGCATACAACTAGTTTGGTTTGTGGTAGAATTCCCATTCCTGGTGGGGCAGCCTGGAGTTGTGATAATCTGCCTTTGTACTAAATGAGCATCAGAGAAGGGGGCTTACATCATGCTTTTCTTTTAGACCTGGTTTGCAGTGCTTCACGTAAGTCTGGGGAGTTTCAGGCTTCCACTCAGATGACCTAGACCACTTCCCATCCAAGCCATAATCCCACTTTGTACAGTTTGCAGGAAGGTTTCAGGGAGCAGAAGTCTGCAGGCAGTGATCAGTGATCAGCTTGCCTCAGCAGCTGAGGTCTCTGACACAAAAGTCTGCAGCTTAAAAGCAGCCAGAGGTCTACAGCTTTTATGCTGCTGCCTTGTGTATAGGCAAGAGAAAACAAAAAGCAGAGATTTCCAAAGCTAATTAAACAGTTAGGAAAGAATATGACCTGTGCTTGACATGGCATTAGGGCGTATTAGGGCACACAGAGCTCTTACATGTAATTCTGGCTTAAAATGGATTTTGGCTTTGCAAGAGCTGTGAAATCTTTGTAGTCGTCTAATAAATCTGTTCCCCAGACCTTAGGCTTTTTTCTTCAAAAACCCAAACACTTGTAAAATATTCTGTCAAAATCTTCCTGCAACATTCCTTTTAGTGGTCCAGAGCCTACAGCCTCCTTTACTGAATTTCTAATAAACAATACATTATTAATTATTTGCCTCTCAAAACTGCATCTTGGTTTTATCCCATGGCAAGAAAGCAAAGCTGAGATTCATAACCAGCAGAACTAATGGTGTGGCAAATCACTATATTTTTCACCCTAAGAAATTCTGTTCTAGCTCTGTAAGCTTGTATGACCACTTACTCTATGGAAGGGAATGAAAAAAATGGGAAAACCTGAACATATTTGTATGTTCAGGGGCACACCTGAGGACCACGCATGAAAATCTTCAGTTGTAAAAAGAGGAGTCAGCTGTCCTTTGTTACATAATTCGTAATATTGATCAGTCCTTTTGCTTTATAGATATTCTCAGGCAGGACAGTTTCCCCTCAAACATGGCCTGACTTTTTTCCTGTTTTATTTTTCATATTTGTCTTCATTCTCTCTTACAGTGGGTGCCTTGTTAGTTTTTTTTATAAGGTACGGTGAACATCTAGTGAACTTTCAACGCCTGGAGCTGCTGGTTTTCAGTGTCACATCCTGCAAAAGCCCTCCCCAAACTGAGTACGAACATGTGTCCCACATTTCCAGGAGGCTTAAGGGTATTTTTTTCATTCTTCTGCTTTACACTAATGTTTTACACAAAAGAGGCAAGAGATGTACAAACGGCATCATGAAGTATATGGCAATGAATAATGGAGCTGTAGCTTATTAGGTTGTGGGAGATGTGCAGTTAATTACATTTCCTCTGAGACTTCCTTGACACTGTTCCCAAATCTGCAAAAATTTGCAAACTGTATGATATACTTTGCACCCTAAGTGTTGTATGAGATAGCCATTCTTTATAATGAAAAGATAATATGTTTCCTATCCACCATGACTATCATTGTTTGTACTTCCTTTGGTTTCTGCCTTTGATCCATGCTTAAAGGAGAGAAAATCTGTCATGTTGTCGTGGATTTAAACTAATAACTAAGAAAATTACTTATTTTTTTTGCTGTGAGATATGGATTAGAACAAGAGCAAAACAGGCATACAACTTAAACAGGAAAAGAAAGAAAGTTTTTTTACAAACTATAATAATAAGAACACCAGAATAAACTTCCAGAAAAACCCTTCCATCCCCTATCTACCCACTATTCTCTTGTTCACATGACAACAGAGATAAAAACTCTGGAACTTTGATGGTTAAAACAGTCCCAATTCTTGCTACAGTCTTTTCACCAGTCTTTGTAGAGAAACAGAAGTTTCTTCCTGTTAATTTATGGAGTTTCTCACAAGAAAACTATTTTTGTTATAGTTTTCTATTGCCCTAATGTTAGCTGCCCAGAGCTGCTATTATTAGAGTTCACTCCTCCCATTTTCACATCACTCTGAAGTGTGTATGGGCCATGAGTCTAGAGATAGCATTTTTAAGGATAAGTTATTCAAAGGCAAAAAAAAAGTCTTCTTCATCTGTTTCTGTGAGCTTCACCAGAAAACAGTTTTCTCATTGCCTCTCAAGGCTTCAAATCTCCCAGCACTTCACTATACTATAATTACTCTACATTTTACTCAAATTTACACTTTGAACACTATTCCTCTCTAGATACTGTATCATGAATTAAAGGAGTTCTTTTCAGGACTTCATTGTCCATTTCCATAGTTTTTAACAGAAAGATATTTCAGCTTAATTAAAGCATCTTCTTAATTCTCTACCTTTCCTGAAGCTTCTTTTCTTTCCTGTCACTGGTAGTTTATGAAGTCTCTTTTCATGTTGATCTCTCTCTTTTTCTCTCTCTGGATAAAAAGCTTAATCCGCAAGTCTCATCTGGGTAATGAAAGAGTTAAAATCTTGTCCAGGCTTTTGTAGATGGTTCGGAGATCTCTGCCGAACAGGAGCTGGAGCTGTCTGCGATGGAAAGTTCCTCATGGCTGCTCTGGAGCGTGTAGTCGCTGCTCCAGCCTGCTGCAAGTCCAGGGCCTCTCTCTTTCTTCACTGGACAGTTTCTAGTGAATGTAGTTACAGCAAAACCTGCAGCCGAGCCAGAGATCGGCTCGGCCCGGGGAAAACCTTCCCCAGGCCCCCCCATCTCCCGGCCGGGAGACGGGGCAGGCCCGGCCCCATCCCCGCCCGGCCGCATGGCCTGGGCAGGGACGGGAGGCCTGGAGCTCTGCCACCCTCCACAGCCAGGAAACAAAGAGAACCCAGAGAGCTCTGCTTTTACACTTTAAGATAGGGTTCACAAGTTGATCCCACTTTTCAATGGCCTAAACTGCTGTCAATTCCCAGCAATGACCGATAATTGGTCAGGAGAAAAGACTCCAAGCACTTCCCAGCAACTCCAACTCCCTTAAAGGTAAAGTAACTCCATGACAAAGGGGAAGGTAATATTTTAAAGGGCACAGCCAACAGCTGACCTAGGAACAGGGAGAGCAGTACACTGGGATTTTCTCTTTTCCTTTTCCAAAAACCTTTAATGTAGTTTCTATGGCGGATGAGAATATTTGAAAGCAAGTCTTAATGTAGACTTTAGTACACCATATAAAGCAGCAAGCATGAACTGGATAGCAAAGAGAAAGACAGCCCAACTTCCACATTTAAAGGCACCGGTGGATTTTAAAGACACAGATTTGAATTTTAAGGACAATGCTTCATTTACCTGAAAATCCTGACAAGTGTTTCCATTTTCATGACCTAAATCCAAGACTTGTCCTCCCTCTCTCCATAGGTATTTGGGACTCATCTTTCTGTCACTTCTCCTCATCTCCGTTTACAATGACATCCTGTAGGGACATGGCCTCTAAAGTGAAGAAATACTGGGTGTGGGACACTCTGCAAGCGTTGCACAAAAATCTATTGGTTTGCAGGAAAATACTTCCTGCATAACCTATAAATAAAATAAAATTAAACAAAAAATAAAAATATTGTGATTTTTCTTTCAGTATCTATTTTGGTCCATGCTTTATCATGAACCTAGCACTTTATTACAGTAAAACATTTATATAACTACTACATAAACAAAAATATACAGCCATATTGAGGTTGTGTGCTCAAAAACTGGCTTTTAATATGGTTGTGCAGCCAAAAAATTTGGAGAACATTGGCCTATCTTTTCTTTGTATGAGAGGCTAAGAAAGGAAAATAAAAATCCATATAGACTTCATGTATTCCAGGAAGAATCATTTTCTAGCTCAAGATACTGAGTACTCTTGAGCCTTGTATTTGATTAAATAATGAAAAGTACGAGTAACATTATTTCCCCAATGACATTTAAGACAAGATTAACTCCTGTTTGTACTTTTTGTTACACCCAAAATTAATCTCTTTGTAAATATCAGATTAAGTTCATATTTTGTGCTTTATTGTTTTAGCGCCCTTAGATCAGACTCCTCTGTCCTATATTTTCCCGGAGAAGGTTGAACTTTGCAGAATGGCCTTTGACCCACATTTCAAAATGTTAGTGGTCATATTTCCATGACAATTGCAAGTGCTTTAGGACCGAGAGCTTTACAGTTTACATCTTTTGTTTGTGAGGGGCACAGAGAAAACACAATTCTTAATATTTGGCAACACAAGTTTTTGTTTTCAATGTAATTCTTGGAAAGCACTGAACCCAAACTTGCCCTAATAGGAATAAAACACTTGTATCCAGAAATCCAGTAGATTAAAAAGAAATTTTAATTTGTTACTTTGTCTCTTTCTGAAATTTTGCAGGGATTTCTCACGGCCTCACCTCCATCTTCCCATGAAGATGTCAATAGTTCACAAATTAGTTCCTTCATACAGCTATTCATCCCTCCCTCCCTCCNATGTTTAGCTGGAAAGAAAATTCCTCACCACCTGCTGTTATACTGAGTGCAAACCCTCATGGATCTGAGAATATCATTAGTAATTTTGGATAATTACTTAGAGAAAGTATAGGAGTCCCATGTTCTACTGTACTGTAATCAGAGTCCAAATTTGAGTTCATTTC